TAAAAGAGGGCCAAGCCCTAAACCCTAGGAATTTAGGAAAGGGGTGCCCCCCTATGCTTAGGCATTGAGGCCTAGTCTTGCACTTGTGATTGTTCCACCATTGCTCTCTAATTTGAAAGAGTTATTAGCCAAAGGTTTCCCATACTTTGACGATCTAAGATGGACCTTGATCTCGTGCACCATTGGAGGAGACCAGGAGTGGGGTGTGCAAAGTCTAGTTGAGGTAATCTTGTGGCAATTTATTTTTTGTTTTTCCAGTTTGTGTTTCATGCTCCCATGATCAAGTAAGTGTATGCAATAAAAACTTGTTAAAATGCCATCAAGTGAGAGTCCTTGGAATTCATTATGTTCTTTTATTGTTTCCCATAAATGTATTTGGACATTTGTAAGTAATCCGGGTGGTAAAAATAAAGAAAAAAAAAAAAAATTAATAGATATACACTTACCCAGGTTACATGGTCCAACTTTCAAACAATTCGTTTGAGGAAATCTCCAATATGGAAAGCCTAGAGCCAATCAAGGCTGGTGAGGGAGGTAGCCTAGCAAGCCAACTAAAAGTAGTGGAGTGTGTACAAATTAGGAAGAGAAGTTAAAGTGAGATAGGGACATAGAGTGGGTAGAGAAAGGAAAGTGAAAAAAGTTGAGAGAGAGAGAGAGAGGGGAGACAGAGGAAAAGAGAGTAGATAAGTAGAGGAAACAAAAGAATAATGTGAAATAAAAGATAAAACGAAAACTTCCAATTCCAAGCAACAGGATAATTGTACGCTGGCACGAGTCTGGGCACATTCTCTGCAGCTTGCGGATAAACCCAAAACTCCAATAGATTATTGTAACCATCCAGACGCCCTAATACAAAGAAAACCACTCTTCTGATTTAGTAATTTCTTAAAAATAAAATCTAGGCTCCATAAGTCAAGTATCTATTCTAGCAAATGGCCTAATTTTTGTGAACATATCAGGTTAATGGTGTACAAGCACTAACTTTACCATGACACTTTAAGCAGTAAGTTTGAAGTTCAAACTTCTAATTTTATAATTTAAACAATGCCCCCTATAGCAATAAGCATGAAGTTAAATTAGTAAGTAATTGTAACCTTATTCTCTAACTTAACAAAATAATTTTAGTTACTCGCTGATGAAAGGAATAATATTTACCTAGAATACAAACTTATGTGAATTTCAACTTTACAACTTACAAAAAATTTAGTTTGTTCTTAATTTAGAGCCTAGGCCAATTTGATACTCTAGGGTTTTACCCTGCAGGGAAAAGTAGGAGATTATAAAGAGAATTAAAAAAGGACCAAGAGAAACTACATTGGGGTTTCTTCAAATATATGGTATATAAGACATGAATGGCCTCCCTCCCGTACAGTAATTACATCTATGTTCTCGGATTATACTCTCAATACGACAATACCTAAAGTACTTTATAGATGTTTATATTAAATACACCACACTTATCTGGCACAACTTATCTTCCACATGGGTTATAGTGATGATTGTGTAAGAAACTGAGATAGGGTTAGTATTTTCCTCTGAATGACTGCTTTTTGACTTGTCAATGACAATCTAATTATGACAACTACAACAGGGTCCTCTAGAAGCCATAACTATTATTGAAATTTTGCAATTTGACAATTCTAAAGGAAGATACAAGATGATCTAACTAGCATCCGACACACTTGCCAAATCAGATGGGGCTTTCATCTCTTTCTCGGGGCTGTTGGGTATTCTTGACTCAACCACACCTGAAGCTATAGCTTTACTTGAAGGGCTCAAGAGAGCCACACAACTTGCGTTACATTTCACAAGTGTACAGGTTAAGGCAGACTTCAACAATGTCATCCTTTGGGCCTCTAGCCTTAACCTCCGTGACGCCTCTCATCTATTTATTATCTCATAGCCTTCATATGCAGTTCGCTACCACCTATCTTCTATCTCCAAAAAAAAAAAGGGGGAAGAAAAAAACAAAAGAAGGATAAAAGAAAAAAAGAAAAAAAGAAAAAAAGAAAAAAAGAAAAAAAGAAAAAAAGAAAAAAAGAAAAAAAGAAAAAAAGAAAAAAAGAAAAAAAGAAAAAAAAGAAGGAAAGAAAAGGGACCATATATTTTTGTTCGCTTTTTCAAAGCCCGTTCTCTTCTTCTTTTCCCTTATCTTGCAAGTGAACCTTCCTTTATCCCTTTCTTTCCTCTGATTTTATCCTCGCTTTTCCTCTACTCTTCTCATTTTTCTCCTTCCCTCTCTCTTTCTACTTTAGCCCCACCACGTAGCATCCTCTTTTACTCATCATCTACCCCTCTCTCTTCTAGGACTCAGCTTTTCTCCTCTTTAGAGTCCTTTCTTCTCTCCCAGCTCTTTTGTTCTAGCCCTCACTCTTGCATCCTACGCTCTTCTTCTCTCCCCCTTTACTCACAACTACCTTCACCGCTTACTGCTCTGGTGACAGCTAACCAGAAGCCTCTCCTCTCGCTTATCTTGCTATCAGGGCCTTCTTCCTAGACTTCTTATCTCTCTTTCTCTCTCTTCTTTGGCAGGTACAAATGGCAACAAACCAGTTATAATTCTGCCAGACAGAAATTGAGCTCACTAGAGAATTTGGGGAATGTGAAGGAAATCTCGCGATACTTGGAAGATGCAAACCTACCTTGCAAGATTTTCATTCTTACTCTCCCTCGCTCTCTCATCTCCTTTCTCTCTTCTCTTCTCCTCTATTTCCTCTCCATCCTCTCTCCTCTACTCCCCCCTCTTCTCACTGGCTCCTCTCCATGGCTTCTTCCTTTCTATATTGTACTTAATCTTTCTTAGAGTTTGTTTTTTATTGTTTCCCTCTTATTTCTAGCTCTTTTCTTGTAATCTAAGCACCCAGCATGTGGGATGCCTTTTACCACACATTGTGGGTTCTGTATCCATTTACTATTTATTAATATAAAATTAACTTTCTCAAAAAAATAAAATCTTTTGGGAATAAAACTCAGAGACTGCCTCTCATAATTCCTAAAGGTATTGCAATTCATAAAAGATCAACTCCTATTAGGCTGCAAAGAAAATACTATCCAATTCATAATAGCCATATCTTCAACCTCTCAATCTACATATTTAGCATCATCCTTCAGATCAGGTTTTTCCACACGGCCGTCAATATATCCCAATTTTTTTTGTCCACCCAAAAATAGTCTAACTGACCTTGCCCATTCTAAATAGTTGGTTCCATCAAACCTGACTGTGGTGATTTGGGATCCAGAAGACTCCATATTTGATGATGTAAAGATATTCTCTGCGGTAGTTAAGATCCGATTACACCCTTAGATCTTCATCAACAATTGAGATCAAGTTATACCCTTTGATCTCTTCAAATAAAAGGTTTTACAGATCTGATTACACCATCCGATCTGTTCACACTCCCTTTTTTCTAGAAAAACATAGTATTTCTTTGATTAGGGTATACAAACGTTAATCATCCAACAACTAGATTTGCAAATAAATACTTAATCGGCATTCAGAATCAAACTCACCTCCATTGGCACAGTTACTGTTGGAAGAAAAAAAGCTAGACTTTTAAGGCATTATGACATCATCTCCCCCCAAAGGATGATGTCAACCCTAAACACAATTCATGCGCACCATTTTTTGAAGATCGATCCCCTTCTTTTTCCTCTTCTTGCTTTGATACCAAGTGCAAATTATAGAAAAGAAGATAACAATTTCGTCGGATCTAGAGAGAGAAAGAGAGAAGAAAATAAAGATGATGAAGTAGAAGGGGGAGAGAGAGAGACATGTGAGAGAAAGAGAGATAGAGGAGAGAGAGTGGCATTATAGTCACTTATGACCTCTACCCCTCTGATAACATTAAGTGATAACCCTAATTACAACTTATGGACAATATTACCCGTATTTAGAGACATAAAACAAATAAGGACTAAACAAAATATAAATGACAGTTTTGTCCATCAAATACAATTAAGCTTATTCCTTTATTTCCAACCAAAAGATGACCACATCCTATCGTAATTAGCACTCTGGGATAATGGAGAAAGATGGAATCATAAGTAAAATATGAATGCCATATACTATCACAATCTCACCATAAGCATTTCCTATATGATCCGTATTTTGGAATCTAGCAGTAACAATAATGCAGAGAATCATCAAAACCTAACATATAGTCCTTGGATTATACTCCTATACTACAATACATGAAGTACTCTATAGAAGTACATACTAAACACATCACACTTATCTTGTGCATTAAATGGATCATTTTATAGCTCCACATGGGTTATAGTGATGTTTGTGTAAGAAACTGAGATAGGGTTAGTATTTTCCTCTAAATGACTGTTTGTTGACTTCGCAATGGCAATCTAAGCATGAAAACTACAAAAGAATCCTCTAGAAGACATAACTATTATCGAAATTTTGGAATTTGACACAGGAGGATACAAGATTATCTAACTAGCAGTCAACAGTTGCCAAATCAAAAAACAGGAAGCATAAGATCTGTAACTTTGTAAACATGAGATGGTCTAACATAATCACACTAAAACTTATAAAATGCAAAAACTTCATGTCCATCATAGGGCTTATTGAACTCCACTAGCAAAGCAACAAGACGGTAAGGAAAGGCAAATCAAATAAACACTGAAATTTCCAACTAAATGTAGTTGAATAAATCATATAATGAACTTATGTCTAGTTAGTAAATCGGGTATCCAATAAAATATGCAGATAATAGTTGCTACTACAAAGTGGTAACATGCAAATTTATATATCCGACTAACTAATTGTATATAAGAAGTGAAAGTGGTCATCATATTCTTAATTTGCCAAACGAAATTGTAAAGAAAACGAATACTAAAAATATTGAAGTACGTTAAGTATCAATATCAATTTCATCCGTTTATACCCATGAAAGATGATCACATCCTATCATAATTAGCACTCTGGGATAATATCAAAAGATGGAATTAGAAGTGAAATTGAATGTCATATACTACCACAATCTCACCATAAGCATTTCCTATCTGACTCGTATTTCGGAATCCAGCAGTAACAATAATGCAGAGAATCATCAGAACCCAATTAATATCTGGTATATATATCTGCCCAAGAAACTTTTTTGAAGTATGGACGACCTTAACCCTTGGGAAACAGCCAAGTGCAAGTGATTGCTTGATTATCGAAAAGGTTGCAGATATAGTGGCCTGACTAGCAACAATAGCCGCTGCAGTTGCGATGAGAAACATTGGCCAGTAAATGCTCTCTACAGATTAGAACATGATCAGTATGTAGCTCACAGAAAAAATATTTTGTTGCCCCAAATAAATCAACCAGAAGCAAAAGTTAACTAACCTGGAATGGACCTATAGAAAACATCCACAACACGTTCCTGGTTTTGCATAAGGTAAGCTGCTTGACCTGTATATGCCAAAAGGAGGCATGGAAATACCACTACTGTGAATGCAATCTGCACAAAGAAGATAATATATCAAAACATGAAAAAACTTGACAAAAAGAAAGGAGAAGCAATTGAAAAATATAATTGGGCTCCTACGCCTAATGCAATGACCTACCATTGGAAATAATCGCGCATGGCTGCAGAAGCAATCCATCAAACCATGATCATGGGTGGGTGTGCAAGAGAGAGAGAGAGAGAGATAGAGAGAGAGAGAGAAAGAGAGAGAGATGTTCAAATGGACTACATAAGATATTACCTGAACAGCCAATGCAGAAAAATGGGCCAAGTCAGCAAAAAGGGCCTCCGTTCCTGTAGTAATAAACATATTCAGAAACCCAAAACAGACAACTAACCAAGATAAACAACAGTCAGAAAGGGGAAAGTGTATCAGGAATTCTGACCCGTTATACATAGCATGATTCCCCCAAGAGACATCCAACTTTGTGCCTTTCTCCGTCTAAAATACCGATAAATATAAAGTGGAGAGAATGCCTTGAGGACAGTTCTATCATAATTCCAGATATTATAAGCCCCAATGCCTCCGATTGAAATAAACCAGATAAGGACTACCGGCGCAAATAACCATCCAACTCTGTCTGTCCCATAATGTTGCACGCTAAACAAACCAACCAATATAACAACAGAGACCACGACAACCACATCTGAAAGATTTGAAAATGACTTTGACTAAGAAGTCATATTATTTGATGGCAGAGGAGTTGTAGCAAAGTGAAATCTAAAGAGTTCTTAAAGCTTTCCATACTAATCAATAAGCCAATTTCTTTCTAGTAACATAGAAAACTGAAAGGACAATATCAACAGCCATGGCTCCAAAGCAATAGTCAAAGGAGTGTCCAGACTCTGGTTGTTTTAACTTATTCTGGATTTTATTGAATATGGTAAATGCTAGATCAGCAAAGGACATAAATAATATTTCTAATAAAGAAGACACAAATGTTTCATAAGAACTACCCAGAAAGATAAGCACAGGACCGTTTCAGAAATATAAGCAATAACACCAATTACAACTTAGTGCCCATTCCCCTGGAGAGTCAATATAGCAACCTAAACAACAGAAAGGGAAAACAGAAAATAAAAAGAAGAGAAAAGAAATAGGACTGACTGAAAAAAATCTCTTCCGCTTACTATGTATTCATCAACATAGCTACACATAAGGAAAAGAGCCTGGGATTAATTGATTAGCGCTTGACAATTTGCAACGCTACGTCCTAGACTCAATTCTTACCAGGGTAGGGGCCGTCTCCCCACTGACTCATCCAAAAAATACAAAGCTACACATAACTATATTAAGAAAGTCACATACCATTACTCATCTTAGGGTGGTCAACCTTGATTCCACCAGCAGCAGAAAGGACTGTAAAGACATTGTAGAAATTCAGTAAACTCAAAATAGAATGCACTGAATATATTTGCTATAGCAGAAATATCATGAAAAGAGCAACAACATCGAGCACTCAAGATGTTCAAACATAATTTTTATCTATTATACATGAGAAGCTTCATAATATCTTTTATCAAATTTAAAGTTTGAACAATTGATATCCAAGACAGCTATTTTAGCAAATTATGAGAAAAAGGCTCGAGCAGTCCGCTAATGCAGTTTATCCTTCGTACAATTCAACCCAGAGAAATCAATCCAAAATTTGAAATTCTCCAGCCTGCAGGAACCGTACAGTTCCTATTCTTCATACCCAACGCAAGTTTGGTTCTAAGTTTCATCAGAAAACAAAGGAAACTGAGTGAGACCCAATCAAAGTTGAATCTAGAGCTGCTCAAACTTTGTTCGCTCACAAGCTTAGAACCTAGTCCGCTACTATGTTAGATCAATCAACATGCAATATAATGAACTAGATATTGAAGGAAACCCTCTCAAGCTTAGGCAATCTTCATCATAATGAATGGGGCTTTTGATATGTCATCCACGCAACAGAAAGGACTGAGACAGAAATAACCCTAACGATACAAAAAAATAAGTGACCGTATGATGACAATATAAATGCCCGATGTTTGATTTGCAAGAAAAACAACAAACATATATATAGGACCAGATTACCCCTGCTAACAAGGTTTTTGGGTTATTAATGTGGTAAATACTACACTTCAGCCCAGTAACACCATTTTAACTAAGCCATGAAATTCTATAGTCTCTCATGCATTTTTCTTGTGTTGAAGTCCTTTGTTATTTAAGTTCTAGGAACCACAATGCCCTTTGTTATTTGTATGGGCAGTTTTGTCCTTTACTATTTTTTTAATAATATATATATATATATAGGGAAAATATCCTGTCAGCCCATGGGCTGACAGCTACAGTGTCAGCCAATGGCCCAGATTGAATCTGGGCCGATCTGACGGTCACAACCTCAATTCGTGTTTGAATTTTCATTTTTTTTCTACAAATCCAAATCACTTGAATTTTAGAGCGTTTATTCTTCAAAAATAGAAGAATTTAATAAAAATATAAAC